GGCGCTGAGCAGTCGCGAGGCAATAATGAGGTTTGATGGTGACGTCCTCGACTACCTGGTTGCAAGACTCGCCCAGAAGCCTGAGGGGGAAAGCATTGGCAAGAAAGTCAAAAGCAGCCCTGCAGGCTCTTTCTCAGAAGCGGATCCCCAGCCAGAAGTTCAACGCGGCTCGGACTTTGCACTCGGACTAAACGAAAAGTCAAGCCCAGAATTCTGGAGTCATTATTCGAGATCCAAAGGGCTAGAGCCCGACGAAGTGGGCGTGGTGCCGGGTTGCCGTCAGTGTTGACATCCTCATCGCGTCGACGCGTCGAACAACAGCATCAACAACACGGCCCCCACCTCTGCCCCTCACCATCCAGGATGGATTCCAAGGCCCATGCTTCTCGTGGCCCTGTTCAGTCGTGCATACGGGATGAGGTCACATTATTGGCACCCGGCACTCAGCCACTCTGAGTGCGGGGAAACCCTCGTCGCAACTTTTCAAGGTCAGTTATTGTGTCCCCGAATAGAATATGCCTTTGGTTTTAGACAGAGCGTACGGAGTATCCCGTACAAGCTCCTGAGCTTCCCGCCCAAACAATCGGCGTTTCAATCAACCTTTAAATCCTCATGTACCGAAGTTGATATTATTTACACCTACTCTGTCTCGAAGAGATATGGCAAGTAAAGCGTACTTCCATATCCTTTAGTGAGGCCGTACTTTGGGTTTTATGAACCATACCCTCCGCATTCAGGGTATCAATCCTTCCCTTTCCACAGCGAGCGGTTCAATCATTGGGGGCTAGTACCTTGCCGACACCGCTGGCCTAAGACCTCGCCAATTATCCTGCTTTGTTCCTAATCGATGTCATCTAATTATTTGCCCAATGTCTTGTTCCTGTATTCTAGCGAATTTGTGGATCAATCGGCTCAGGTTATTGCAAGATGTCTGCTCCCGAAACCGGATCACGCGCAAGGCCGAAACTATGATGAGCGCTTAGATCTGCCGTCATGACAATACCATTAGAGCTTTTTGCATTTGGCATGTTGCATGAAATCGAGATCTCAGATTAGAGCGTGTATTGGTAGGAGCCTGCGGATGTCTCCAATGATACGCTGCTTCCGACCATAAGCTTTGATGTGGTTCTCCGCGCTACCAATCAATCCGGTGTTGTCGCTCTCGAGGAAGAAACTATAATGTTGCGCTCGCTCGGCGTGGTATATAAAGTCAACAATGCAATTCGCATTCCAGGTTGCGTAGGGTACGGGGAAAGGAAATGCTGTTGCATGGCGCAGAATTCTGGCAGAAGCATTGAAGGGATTTCGAATAATGATGGGCAGCAAGCAGAGAGCTTCATGGTCATAGATATGGTCTGTCAGTGATAAGAAACATTTGTCTGTTGTAAGAGTCCCCAACCTCGATGCTGGATGTAGTGGTGTAGATGGAAGAGCAACCAAGGTGACTGTGTCTATTTTGCCGACCAGTCGTGTGCGTGCTAAGCCCAAACGGGAACTCTGCTTGCTCCGGTCTTCACGTGATATGGATAATTTTTCCTCTGCGGTCCAGCAAATGAAGACTCAATTGATTAAACAAGCAAAAAAAAACTATGGTTGCTGGATCGAATCCCAGAAAACGGCGCCGGGAGGCGGCAAATGTCGATGTCAAACTTGTTGAGATCTATGAAGACCTCGCCAGCGAAAAAGACGGGATACGGCTCAAAGCCGCCCATGATTTACTCTCCCGCTTTGCGCCAGACCAAAACCCATCGGAGGAGCAAGTCGAAAAGGCCCTAAAAAGATTATTCCGAGGACTATGCAGCAGCCGAAAAGCGGCAAGGATTGGGTTCTCTATCGCCCTCACGGAGCTTTTGTCGCAGGTGTTCGCAACCTCCAACAGGCACAACTTGAAGGAGCTGAGCATCCCAAAAGCAATCGAGATTTTGGAGTCGCAAACCAACGCGGTCAATTGTGCATCGGGCCAGGTAGGCTTCTCTGGTCTGCTCCGAACACGGGATTGGTTACTGATATCATTTCATAGGAGGAGAGGGATCATTATTTTGGCCGATTGTTTGGTGCAGAGGCCATTCTGAAATCTGCCATTTTGCTTCAAGAGGGCGTTATCTTTGACAATTGGAAGAAACTCCTCTCTCTGGTGTTTGACTTGGCCACGAAGAAGCCGTGGTTGAGAGAAGAATGCGGATATATCATCTACTGTGCAGTGCGAGATATTGCTGTTAAAGCAGCAGATGTCAAATATATCAATACGGTCATTGGGGCACTCGCAGAAAATGGACTTGCCAAAACGCCCGAAGGCGTTGCAATCTGGCTTGCGGCCAAAGAGTCCGCGTTGCCGGTAAGTTTCGTTCCTGGTATATGGCAGGATGGCAATCCGTTGCACTCCAAGGAACGAACTACTCTCGCAAAGATTATGAAAGAGTCATCAGATCCTCATTCCGATGGAGACGGTGAAAATGGAGCCGCAGCCAAATCCCGTGTTTGGAATCCAAAATTGCATTTTGCATGGGAGCCGATTCTTGCCAAACTGTACGCGCCTTTTCAAGCTAAAGCCGGCGACAAAGCCCCCAAGCAAATATCTTTTGCCGACTTTTGGACCGAAGTTGTCGACAGTAAGTGAGCCCGCGGCTTAATTCTCACCGCTCCCGCTAATGACGTATAGATGGACTTTTTGCAGCCGCGTCGTCGGAAGAGCGGAAATATTGGGGTTTCCTCGTGTTCATGAGAGTTGTGAATGATGGACCCAGTGAAGCTGCCAGCTCAGTATTTACAAAGAACTTTGTTCGGTGTTTGACGAATCAGCTATCTGTTGAAGATCGGTATCTGCACCGAATTGCCCAAAAGTCCGCAAAGTCGATACAGACCCGTGGTGCCGCTGACCCGCAGTTTGTAACTGTAGCACTTCGTGGCTTGATGGGGCAAGCAGGTTCTATTAATTTTGACCAAGTGACGAAAACCAAAACTATTGAAAAACTGATTGGTGACGCATCTACGGACGCTTTGGATCAGATCGTTCCGTTGTTGCAGAGTTTGATCATCAATCCCGGCGTGGATGATGCCAAAGCGGCTTTACCGAAGAGACATCAACTTGCTACCCTCTTGACCTCAATCGTAAAATCGCTTTCTACGACATCGAACTCCACGGACGACTTGGATACCACCATCAAGCGTGTCATGCTTGTTTTGGCACGCTTTGCATACTTTGTGCCCGCAGATAGTACCAAGAATAAAGACACTGCCCCAAAGCCACCAATTGCTCAGTCGACGCAGGAGTTCTTTAGGAACAAAATCTCATCATGCCTGAACATGGTTGTTGCCGGCCGCAAGAGTCCTTCGGCCGTTGCATGCGAAGTTATCCAAAGCATTCGTGATATGGAGCAAAATGGGGAATATGGCAAGTTCGTTATCGACATGGGGGATAACATTAGCGCGTCTGTCGACTCAGCATTCAAGATACTGAAAAAGCTCCAGCACAAGGTACGATCGATCGTGCCTTATTTTCTTCTGACGCATCGGGCTGACTGGTAACAGGAAAAGAAGAGCGACGAAGCGGGGATGGCCAGCATTCACGCACTAAAGCTTCTCTACGCTATGACCATCTTTCAGGTTTATAATGGCGATGCTGATGCTGTGTCTATGCTGGACGAGCTTAAAATATGTTACGACAAATTCATCGGCCGGAAGAAGTCTGCTGCCGATGTTGCAGAAGCCTCTGATATTCTGGTTGAAATCCTGCTCAGTTTTGCCTCGAAACAATCCCAATTGTTTCGCCGGACTAGTGAACAAGTCTTCGGCGCCTTTGCTGACCGAGTCACAGCCACAGGACTTCAGTCGTTGATCGCGGTATGGTGATATTGTGTTTCAACTGCATGCTACGAATTGCTAATATGTAAAGCTAGATTCTGGAGGCGAAAGATTCCCTTGCTGGGCAGGAGGAAATGTTCGAGAATGACAATGATGATGATAGCGATGTGGAGATGGTCGATCCAGATGACGATGATGTAGAAGAAATAGACCAGTCGCTCGAGTCAGACTCGGAACCCGAGGATAATCACGAAGCTTCCGATGATGAGAATGACGAGAGCGAACCTGAAGACGACGACGAGCTCGAGGCATTTGATGCCAAGCTCGCTGCAGCTCTCGGAACCCACCGTGCAGATAAAGACCTCGATGCCGGTTCCGAAAGCTCCTCAGACTCTGACATGGACGACGATCAAATGGAAGCCTTAGATGAGCAACTGGCTCAAGTCTTCAAAGCTCGCAGCCAAGTGACAAATAAAAAGAAAGAGAAGAAAGAAGCCCGAGAAAACATGATCAACTTCAAAAACCGCGCTCTTGACCTTCTCGAAATATACGTGAAAAAGTCTCATTTGAACATAATCGCAACAACCATCCTCCTCCCGCTGCTACAAGTCGTGCGGAAATCCAAAATCCAACAAATTGCCAACAAGGCTAGCGGCGTGCTGCGTGAATACTGCAAGCTGTGCAAGGGAAATAGCGTCCCCACCGTCGAGATGGAAGAGCAAGTTTGGGATTTGCTTCGAGCGATCCACGAGGAGGCCACGCATAGCGGACCGGTGTTCCACGCAACTGCGTGCAGTCAGGCGAGTCTGTTGGTAGTCAAGATTCTAGTGGCACATAAAAAGGACAATGTTGAAAGGGTCGTGGATGTGTATGCTGAGACGAGGAAGAAGCAGCTGGTCAGCAAGAGGTGCCATGTCCAACCGTCCTTTTTCTCTGATTGGAATAACTGGTGCGTTTCGGCGAGTAAGCAGATTAAAGGGTGATGCAGGATGCTCTATATCATGGATTTCAATAGATAGAATCACAACACAAAAATAATATGATTTATAGTTCACTGGGTTGTTTGATTAGGTATGTTGAGCTTTGCCTGGAGGCATGCATTGAAAGGCTGTAGACAACGCATGCTGGGTTTACGGGGTAGGATTTTACTCCAGCAGTCGATACAATTTATACTAAGAGTTTGGATATCTCGGGTCGCGAGAGAGGCCACACAGAGAAAAGGTAGGATGGGACGGTATATACCCAGTGCCTCTCGGGTTATAGCTAATGACTTCCAGGAGCTTGATATAATTAGGAGAAAGTAATTTAAAAATGGAAAGGAAAAAAAGAAAGAATGGCATGAGCGAGCTAACGATAACGGTATCAGCTTTGCGGCTAAGTGTTGGCGTGGTCAGGGTCTTATTTCAAGTCTCCGAAGTGCTTTACAGAGAGACTCGGGAAATGCACAAATGTCAGAAGAGGAGGAATAATAGTTGGATCCTAGGGAAAAATCTAAATACATATCCCCTTGCAGATAAACAATGGCCTTTTATTAAACATATCAACCCTGAGATTTACTCCCAAATCGGACTGATAAATCTGATCACACCCGTGCGAATCTTGGGAGGCTCCTCCGCCGCAAGAGTCTCCTCCAAACCCGTTACCAAATCGACATCTTCTGGCTTCCAGGCCCAAGGATCATGCCGGTAAAAGAATCTGTGTCCAAAGTACAAAATCAAAAACGCCGGAAGGCCAATGTATGCAGTGAAGAAGCCGGCCACCGACCATTTCTGCTTGAAGAACACCTGGAAGCCGTTGATGAGGATGAGGAATGGGAACCCGACCATACCAACGTATGCGCCGTATGGTTGGAACATGGATTTGTAGGGGCGTTCGACGCCCTGAGTGTCGGTGGCCTTGCGGAAGCGGAAATAGATGATGCAGCAGCAGGTCCAGGAAATGAAACCGGAGGTGTTGGTGAGACTGACGAACCAGTTGAAGACTTGGGAGCTACCGCTTCCAACGGCGAGGTATGACAGGGCGGAGAAGCACGCGCTGGCAATCAATGCATAGTGGGGGAGACCGTATCTGTTGCAAGATTTGAAGATGCTTGGGGCGTTACCAGAGACGGCGAGAGAGTACAATGCGCGAGAAGACATGTAGAGGTAAGAGTTTCCTGAACTCCATGCCGAAGTGAGGATGACAGCGTTGACGATACTGTCAAGAACGGGGATTCCGGCGAGTTTGATGCCGACGACGAACGGCGAGGAACCGGCACCCGCTCCGCCGTTTGTTAAAGCAGATTCACTCGATGGACAGATGACGCCAATGGCAAGGGAGCCTAGAATGTAGAAGAAAAAAAGCCGGTAAAAGAATCGTCGCGAGGCGCGGGGAATGTTGTACCGTGGGGATTGCATTTCACCAGCGGTCTGGATGATCAATTCAGGTGCGAAAAGGAACGCAAAGGCGCTAAGAACGACGCATTGCAGGAGAGCAACAAAACGGCCCGCGTGCCCGCCCACAATATATTCATTCGCCGCCCCCGGCATTTTCCAATAATGAAAGCCCAGCCGTTGACGGTGCGGACCACCGCCCCAGAATAGAATAAACGCCAGGATGAGTAAACCTAGGAGCATGATGACCTTGATGCTAGCGAACCAGAACTCCGATTCACCGTACCATTTAACGGGAAGAACGTTGAGAACCAGAATGACCACTATCAGGATAGTAATCCAAACGGCGATATGGACATTGTTATCCCAGTAACCTATGATCAACGCGCCGGCAACGACCTCATTCGGGACCAAAATTCCCATGGAGTACCAATACAAATATCCGAGAGCAAAACCCAAACTTCTCGATACATAACGATATCCGTAGTAGCTCATCGTGCCGCCGTGAACGGGGAGGTAAGTTCCAATTTCGGCGATCGCAGTGACAACCATAAGGACCAGAGTACCAATAAAGATGTAGGCGCCCAGCAAAAAGGCCGGGCCACCGATTGCAAGAGCTTGACCACTGCCGACGAAGAGACCTGTACCAATGGTTCCACCAAGAGCCATCATCTGGACATGTCTTGACTTGAGACCGCGCTGCGTTTGGCTATATCGGCTGTCGAGGAGATCTCTCTCAACCATGGCACGGATGGCATCACGACTTTCTTCTCCCTTCTCATAGGCAGGCGGGGCCGGCGTGGGCATGGTGGCCGCCCCAACCTCCATGTCTTTTTCGTTGCCCATCTTGAGGAGGATGGAAGATTGTTCCAAGGCGCCTCAAGTCAAAAGGCAACGGTATGGCCGGAGCGCAATGGCAAAGGGAAGATAAACGAGGAAAATTGGCACTTCAAAGTGAACTGAAGGGTTTTTACAAACCCTGGATGGTTGACGAGATTAGATTGGGGAGACGGGAGGTATTTAACGTTGCGCAGGGAATAACCGACCAAGGGCTGGGAGCTCCAGGGAAAAGCTTGGGATGCAGGATATCATCGCTTGGATACCCTAACATAAAGAAATGCCAATGCCATGCTGGCGGGAGAGCGAGATGAGGGGAAAGTACTCAGAACGACCTCCCGGTAAGCTTATGACCCTCTTTGGCTAGTTAGACACGGTCCATAAAAACGAGAGAGAGAAATGTGGCCCGCAGGCCAATGCGAGGAGAGTGTGAATTTCGTTCGATTCAAGAGGGACCCGTCTGGCACTGGCAGTCAGCCATGGTCATTGGACGAGGAAGGAGATCGTCCCGCTCCTCGTTTTCTTCTCTTCAGAAAACGCCTCATGGCAGCAGAGGTCAGGTTGGAGGCAAAAGGCATGGGGTGGTTTTCAGCGGTGCAACAGTGCAAGGGTTGAAACCCAGATCAGCCACTAAGGAAGTTTGGATCCAGTTGATTGTGGAGGGCCTTTTGAAGGTGTGGAGGACGATCACAGGCTCTGAGCCAGGAAGAGGTCTTGAGGCTGCGTGACTAGTCCGTATTCGCAGCTCGGTCGCTTGAGATCCTGGTAGCCATCGTGAGTGACGTTGGATGGGGTTGTCGAGAGACGGCGACAGAAGAGCTTTTCTGGAAACCTTCGAGAAGGGAACATATGTAACTAATGAGAAGCTTTTGGTGTGAATGCTCAGCACGCCATCACAAGGCTCAACAAGAGCTTAACTATTAGTTCGTGTTATTTGGACGAACTTAGTTAACAAACTTGGAGACACGGAAATACTGAGAGCATAGGGCATGCTTGGCTGGTGTAATCACTGCTGCTCAGACTGCCGGAATTGGCGAGGGAGTCGTTATATTCTTTTTTTGCAAATTGAAATCAGACAGGCCAACGGCATGAGTTAATCCCTTCTCAAATGACCATGATGATATCAAGAAAGGAACCGACACCGGCACAGGAGCTAGGAAGATATCATGATGTCAACTGGCTGAAGTGGAGAAATGGAGTCGTGGCGTTGTTAGTTAGTAAGTTAGCGTTCAACTCTCTCATGGCCCTGCTTGAGCTCGAATTTGGGAGATTCGTGAAATGTCTTCCATCAGCTCGGTTCCTGAAGCAGCGATCGGGAGTCATACTCCAGGGTACGGAGTTCATGCATCGAAACGGGATCCGTTGATACCACTACTTGTCCTCTTGCCATCCTAGAATAAGAGAGCGTCTCGCGGCCTTTGTATCAATAGCACTGTGGCTATAGCGCCTGGCGAGATTCTTAGAATCAAAGAAACCGAACTCATTTGCAGGCAAATAGCGGAAAAGCCAGGATATTCGGGGATCATGCCATGACAACACATTGTCAATCTGCGTCTCGGCACTTGGTAACCTGGGGTTGGTGCTGCATGGCTCTCTGTGGAGGGAGAGAGAAGGATTGGAGAAATATGAGCGAAAGCTTTCGGAATGATTTCGCATAGGGACTCGGGAGCTATGCGCTTCACGTCGCTTGAAGCTCAATGTATGCTGGATGTAGCTATCATCTCCAGCTGAAACAATGACCAACCCAGTGCAGGTGCTGGCAGACCCGTCCCTTGATATTCTCTGTGGAATTCCTGTATCTCACCTTACCACCAGCTCTCCGATGTCTGCTCCTATCCAAAGTATCTAGAGGGCGAATGTGTTTTTTGCTAGAGGTTGAAGCTCGACAGAGCTCCCCTGTCTACGTCGTACGGAGTACATGGAGCCCTGGTGCAGTGAAACTTGGGACTCAGACGCCACTTATGCACGAAACAAAAGCAAAGCTCTCCAATTGTCGACTCAAAGCAAAATACATCCGAACTGAGGATCGTTGCACGAACAGGAGTGTTGAACTGGACAAATGAAGCTACACAGAGCCTAGAAACTAGACGGTCTGTTAGATTTGAGGCAACGAAGAAAGGTTTGGACCTGTGACAAGTATTGTCTTCAACTCAATCAATAGCGTCGGAAACTCATGGGTATCACTCGTAACCATTTATCCATGACCCGAAAACAAACAAGAATCCAAAACCGAAATATCCAACTTTTATTTCCCTTCCCCCAAGCGGACCAATGCTGCCTTCGATAAACCCAAAAAGAACGCCCTTGGCTCTTGCCGTGCTGTGCCATGCCTTGCTATCCAAACCGTTTGGTAAAACTATTCTTTTGTCAATTCGCGAGCTGATCAACCCAGCAGGCAACCAATGCTTTTATCAGCCCAATAACCACGTCTCTCCCGTTTTCGACGCTTGCTTGATCCGTCCAACCAGGGACATGCAGGAACACAATGTTCCGATTGTCCCCTTGTTTGTACGCGTATGCCATGCTGGTATAATATATGAACTCGCAGAGATACCTCCCGGCGTCGTCCGACAACCTTAAATCGGCTTTTGGCGGAAGATAAGACCGCCCACCGTTCCAAAAACGCTGCATCTAGCGGGGACGGGGTTATGCGGATGGGAAGCTTGGGATCGGAGGATTCTGTAAGTGCATGGGGAGAAGAAAGATGGGGGGAATCTGTCGGGGGCAGCCCAGGACGCAATACGTCAGGCAGCCCATCCTGTTTCCACAATGCTTCTCCGTCGTCGTAACCCAATTGTCCATCTACGTCTGTAATGGGATATCCATCACGATGCGCCCTAGTTTCCACAGAATAGTAGTGCCGCGTGGACGCCATCCCGACATGTACTATCAAATCAGGGGCTTGGCCATGGTGTGCGCGTTTAAAGGCATCTAAAATGGTCGGCACCGCAACCCGCACGGCGGAATATGAGACTCGGATCGGAGCAGGGTGGGCATGGATCCGGATGGTGCGTGGTGTTGACGTTGACGACGAAGCTGTGGTTGTAGTCGCAGGAAGAGCAGAAGTGATCAGAAATGAGGGATTGAGTGGGTTGGTCTTGAAGGGCTGTTTTGGCGATAGCACATGGCGGTTAACGATCTTTCTGATGACGAGTCGGCAGAGAAACTCACTCCAAACCCAGTAACTAGGACATGGATTTCGTCCTCTGTCGCTGTTGGTTCTGCTGCCTCCAGTGGCGGCAGTGTCACTTCGGGTAACAGACCTGACCCGAAATCGCCCATCGTGAATGCGGCTATAGGAGTTGGGACTGACTATCCTGGGGTTTGTTAGATGTGGCAACTGTAATATAAAAGATCGCAAATCGCATTTCAAGCTCCGGGTCCCTCTTGGTCATCAGCAGCAAGAAAGACTGAGCTTCCCAAGCCGAGTGAAGCAATCTCTCTCTCGCAGCCCCTCCATGGAGCTGATAAGCGATAAGGAAATATCATGCCCATCACGTGACAGCCGCATAACTAACAGCCGCTGCTGCCCAACAACAGCAGCAGAGAGTGACAGACATGCGCTTGGCTGCAGAATCAAAGAGTGGAGAAGGGGCCGGTTGATATCCGAGCCATTCATCACCATTCTCTGAACTTGCTGGTTGTCCCTGGGTTTCGCTGCGGAGGACTGCAGTATAGCGTGCTTGGCCTTCTGCTGTCTAATCTGACGCCACATATTAAACGCGAAAAGGGTGCGTCGCGCTTCCACAGGCGCGTCTCGACGCGTTCAACACGCGACGCCGAAAATCAATTTCCCCGCCCGCCAATCACGAAATTCGCCCCTGTTGGATCAACCGTCGGCTGTCCAATCCAGGCCCAAAGAATTACGCAATTCAACCAGGGGGCTGGCCAAATAGATTGCCAACAAGCAGAATGGGAGCAGGACGGGAGTGGTCAACTGGATTTTGAAGACGTCGGAGCGGCTGCTTCTCGGCCATGGAGCCGACAGAGGCCATTGTGACCTTGTGAGACCGTGATCCAAAGTGATGCGCACGAGGGCCCTAAACAAGGCCCAATCATGCTAGTTTCCTCACCGCATTTCTCCTTCGAGTTTTTGTTGAGGAAAGCTTCGTGTCCCTTCTGTGCGCAGGAAGAAAACAGCTGTCGCCGTCCAAGGGCACTCATCCTGGATAGCTTGGAAGCTGATCCTTGCTCGACGTCGACATGCGATGGCTAAAAGAGAATCGAATCCGAGATATCCTAGATCCCAACGCCTTTAACCCGCTGTCAAAAGATCAGCCACCAAAATCAAGGTGAAATGGGAAAGATATGTATGTAGATCAGCCGGTCGGCACAGACTCGATCGCATCAGATAGACATCCGGCAGGAATGAAGGCGCATACGGAGTAGATTCAATGGAATCAAGGACGGCTCTCCTTTTCTGATCACCAGCATTCCAACCCTTGCACTTGCCGTCTCTCCCTCTGTACACCTCGATGAACGTGCGCCTGGATTGTGAACCCTGTGCCACCAAGAGGTACTTGATTCTCCACTGTCCGCCTGGCGCAGACGCTAGTCACTTGCGATCCAATGACAACCCGCGCGCTGACTTGACACCTCCGAGTCCTGCGTTTCGACCCTTCGCCCACATCATCCACCGCCGCAAGTGAGACCACATCACGGTGCAAATCCCATCCTCGTTTCCTGCCAGGCACATTTGTTCCGATCGCGCTCTTTTTCGTCTCCTTTCAGATATCTGTCCCAGGCCTAACTACAAGCCCATCAGCGACGAAGCGACGAGGCGTGCAGACGCTATTAAGTAGCTCCTGGGGGCAAGCCAGCGGTTCGCTCTCTCAAACACCGGCCGGTTCCTCTCACCAGCGTTGTCATCGTGAACCAAACTTACTGGATTGATGCTCCGCTCTTCATCCCCAGATCGCGTATCGTCCAGAGGTATGTAGCGTGATCCTGCCGAATGGCCACTCCCTTGTCGCCCTTTGCGCTAAACCCTCGCACCGCACTATCTTTATCACATCGCTCCCCTCTCGCCCCAGCCTCCTCTTTTCTCATCCTCCTCGCGGCCCCGGCTGGCATTTGGCGCATTCAGTCCAGCTGATTTCGTTGTTCTGCATCGCTGTCCTTGTCCGAAATCGCCAATGTCTGCCAACCTGGTCAATGGGTGCTGACGTTGTCTCTTATCCTTCTCCAGAGTATCAATTCGAGTCGCCTGACCTTCGCTTGTTCCCGTCGGCAAGTGACGCGCTTTGCTCCTCGAGTCTTCGCTATTTTCCTATCTTTTGAATAATCTCATATTCAATTCACTATAATTGTCGCACTGGTCAAGTGCCTTTTTTCTTTTGTTTCATGGTGTTTTGTCTCCTGGATTCTTATTGATCAGTTGGACAATCAGGTTTGTCGTGCCATTCAACATTTGACAACTGTCTCATTGAGCTAACAATAAGCATCAGACATTGGTCATATTGATTTGAATGAGCAATATTCACTCTGTTGACGACAGACACTCACATTTCAATTGACTGTCGAGCCGCTTCTTCGCAACAGTGATATTCTCTTCAAGTATTTCACGATTTCGACGAACTTTTGACGACTCCATTCTCATTTATGACCTCTACGATTTAACGACATTTTATTTATACAGCAGTTTGACAAGATTCGCATCCACCTTGCTTAACGTCCTCCTGAAACCCGTATCAAAGCCAAACACGCGTGACAAATTACGCGTTTTGAGCGTCTAACCAGAAGATTTGGAAGGAATAAGCGCTGGATTTAACAATCGTTTGGGATATAGTGGATATGCAACCTGGTCGCTAAGAGGCAGCCCATCATTCACTATCTCCCGGCGGAAAACAAGTATTTGTATAAGGAACATCCGGCAGTATCTCCGGATATTATTTATCTGCAGCCATGCATAACAAGTCGCCTGGACTGTCCCGCACTTTGCCAAAGGACTTTATGTTCCATGCTTTCGATGAGCCTCGAACACCTGCAAGGGCCCCCAAAGAGCTAGAGGTTCCCCCACCACCGCACCATTCTTCCTACCGTCTTCGAAGGCCTCGTTTAGATATCCTTTCAAACCTCGAGCATAACACGATGCCATTTTGTTCTCCAGACGTGGCTTTGCCTTCGATAGAGTTCTCACAAGAGGCGGATTCATCGTCGGACCCATTGAATTCAAACTTACCTGGACATACGTCCCGTGGTCACCTTGAAGTGCCACCGCGACAAAGATGCGACCCAAAGACACCTGAAGCGCAAGTGCGAGGTGACATTGTTGAAGAAAGCCGCAGCTGGAGGGAGGAGACTATTGCATCGCGGTCGGACCCCATTCCACGACCGTCCTCAGCTTGCTCGAACATTTCGGATTCATCAGTATCTTCACATGGATCGTTTGGCTCGCATCCTTCGTTTGGCGGCAGTTGTACCAGTCCCGAAAGCGAGATCCAGGATCCCTTCCTAGCGCACTCATTTCCTGAGCAGAAACAAGCTTTCGAGTCTCCCTGTAAGCCAACAGCGACCCGGGGCCTTTCTCTTCAGTTGCCTAGGGGCTCTCGATGGACCTCTGAAATGGATAATCATCTATGGAATACCTATCAAATATACCTTCAGGATCCAACCATAACCCCTTTTAAGACCGTGCCCGGCAGTGTTCCTCCGCTTGGTGTATCCCATCGTGTCGCCAGGGAAGCGCGCAAGACGTGGCCAAGAGTGAAGCATAATCTCGCAAAGAGACAAGGCCGGAATATGTCGCAGAAAACTGCTTCGGACGTTGAACAAGCCGCTGAAGAAAGGAGCGGAAGCTGCACCCCTACAGCCGGAGTGGTTGATTCTACGCCGCTTTGGCCCCGTTCCAATGCCTCGACACGGAAAAGATTGAAGCAGCTATGCCGAAGGAGATATTCCATCGCACCCCACTACCAAAGGCTATTACAGTCCCGGAGCCCTTCCCCGTTTCCAGAACCTTTCATCCGCTCTTCAAATTCATGGTATGGAACAGGCTCATCAGAAGCCGGGTCGAACCCCTTTGCTCGTGATCTTGGTGTTTCCCTTGTTGCAACATCTCTACCCGCTTGCATTTCTGAAGCCACCATTGAGAATAGCAATATGAATACCGACCAAGCGAACTGGTTCAATAATGTGGCGGAGCATCAACCTTTAGCAACCGCATCGCAATCTCAGTATTTCGCGCACCATAGCAATCTAGCCGCCGAGAATCCAGTCGCCATCCCTCGTCTTGGTTCACCTTTTATGTATCATACTTGGGGCCCTGAAAGTTCTCGTCGTATGCGTCCAGCAACGCCTGCAAATATCCCTGAAACTGTTCATGGCACTGGTCCACGACTGCGATCCTCCATCCCACCCGAAATGCTTACCAACGCTCATAAAAGACGGGCAATGAATCAATTAGAAGATGAAATCAGTCCGGACAGGAACGCATTCCCTGACATCCTCCAAGAGCCATTACAGGACGGGAAAAAGAACCCTAATTATCGACGAGTTCGATTGCGGAATCGCGGAGCAACTACTAGTGGGCTAAGCTCTCGAGAGCGATTAAATCAATTGTTCACTCCACCGTCATTATTTGGATCTAATGAGGGCAGTACCAATGGCCCCCAATCCAGCTCTTCCGTAGCTGAGCCACCAAAAGAGGAAATTAAAAGGCTCGGCTCTCCTTTCAACTCGGATCGTTGCTCGAACAGATCTTTACAACCACGTCACGCACCTTCGCGCTCGGAACCATTCATCCTGACCAAACCTCTCCGGGATAGAGCTTCTAGCCTCCAGAGTGCCCAGCCGCTTTATTTTGCGCATGAGAGAACCGTGATGCCTCCTCATCCCACGTCTGAAGATCTCTTGACCGAAACTAAACTTACGCCGACATCCGATCTAGACGTTCCTAATCTTCGCGGCCGTTAATGTTAAACCGAATCGGCAGCTCCCATCTCGGCAACTTTCCTTGAGATTGAGTACTCTGCTCATCTTCGTTGTTGTTGTATTTGTTATCCCGCTGTCTTACTGTGGATACATCCTTCCAATTACCGCAATTTAAACGCCATCCGAACCTCATTTTGTGCGACAACTCCGTGTCGAAAGCGGACGTC